GTGATGCGAGGTCAATGGTCCAACGACTATGGCATGCACGACTATGAGCCCCCCCTTCCCCCCCCACCGATGCCCTAGCGCTTAGATCCGACTTCTATGGTGAGATCCTCCGGCATTCGAGTCCCGGCAAATTTTGCCGTCACAATAGACCTTGTTCGAGTGCGGAGAGTTGATTGGTTGTAGACTTTTAGAATTGCGTCTGGCTCATTGGCATCAAGTGAAGCTGTGGCGACAACTCAAATTCATGACAGCTTCCTGAAGAACATCCATGGAACACACATGGATGCAGATTCTCGAATACCCTGACATGACCCGAATTCAGAGGGCTACCATAGCATACTCAAGCTACCCCCCAACCCCACGCCTGCGTTGCACCTGCAGGAAGCCGACCTTTGCTGATCTTGTGAACAAGCTCTACGGCACCACTGGCATGTGCAGGAAGGGTCGCAGAGGACCGCCGTTCGACCCGTGCGAGCGTGTAGCCGTGTTCATGTGGCGGCTGGGTGGAGACTCCACGGTCAGGCAGACCGCCCTTCAGTTTGGCCTGTCTGATGGGACGGTATCTCAGGTGACCCTGGAGGTGGCAAGAAGGGTCGACAAGTATCTTCGCGATGAATGCGTCTGGTGGCCTAGCCCAGAAGAGCAGCGTGATATGTCTGCAGCATGGGAGCTCGAGAAGCATCTCAGGTGGGTTTGTGTTCGTATATTTCTCGTGTTGGCCACGCCTTTTGTGAATTCAGCATTGGTAGACGGAGACCGACGTGTTTATCGCCAACTCCAGTATGCACGAACGACCACTCCTTACGGACGGGCACTTGGGGCTCGTGGAGTTTGCCCAAGCTCCATGCATTGTGTACAACATTGCCAACCTGTGGGTACTCCCGTCCTGAGCTCTGCGACCTGCACCATCCGAAGACACCCATGAAATGTCTACAAATCGTGCCGACTACCTAATGCGCACACGCCACAATCTTCTACCGACCCGCGTTGTATCGATCACCTGTACGATAGTTAGATGTCGATGGAGAGTACGCCCGGAATGCCTGCGTCTCACTCAATGGAGAACAATCGCCATCTCTCAATGTACCCACGAGCCATGTAACTGGGAAACAAATGCGCGGGCCAGATTGTGTAAGAAACAATAAGGACCATGCCGAATACCACGTCTATTTTTTACTGTAGGCCTTGATCATATGCAACACCTGAACAGATGGGTTAGATCAATTAGACACCCGCGTTTATCTCGCGCTCCTGCTAAGCTCGTACATCCCACACCTCGTCCCACAATTCTGCGCTGCTTTCCAAACGTAGGGGTGTGATCGGAGCCATAGACGGGAGTCACATCAAGATCCTGGCGCCACCAGACTCGCTCCAGACCTCGTACTACAATTACAAGCATTTCTACTCCATTTCGCTACTCGCCATCGTGGACAACGAGGGTATGTTCCGCTGGTTTTGCTCCGGAGCACCAGGCGCGTGCGCCGACAGCGGGGTCTTGACGGACACCGCGTTCTACGAGATGGTACAGGAGGACCAGGCACAGCCAGTGAGCAGCAGACAGCTGTTCGCCAACGGCGCGTGCATCCTGGGGGACTCTGCATTCGCTGAGTCTCCATGGATGCGCACGCCAATCGGGAAACCCGACAACAGGGCGGAACGATTTTTCAACTACAAGCATTCGAGCATGCGCTTCCGCGTAGAGCATGCTTTCGGGCGCCTGAAGAAGAAGTTCCGTGCTCTTCTGAATGGTTTGGACTGCCACCTCGACCACTGCCCGACGATCGTCAACGCGTGTGTCATCCTGCACAACTTCATCTTCATGTGCGAAGGCGAATCACCTGCCGACCACGGAGTTGACAACGCCCCGACGAGGAACGGCACTGGACGCGCACTGTCGCAGGGTGCCGGCCCCTTCGATTCTGAGAGGGCCAGGGAGGTCGACTACCTCCGCCGCAATTTCCTGCAGAGGGAGTGGGGAGCTGCAGGCTCGCGAATGGACCAAGCACGCTTACAAGACGAGAGGCGTGCGAGGAGGAACAACGGCACAGCGCGTTGATACACTGAGACTCGTGGGGTTATAATCTGTTATGTCTACCTGTGTGTTTTTGTCTTGAGTTTTCCTTGGCTGGAGTATGGTTACGGGGACAGGGGACAGGCCGCCTGGGGATCACTTATTGTGTGGCATACATGTGGCCTTATGCATATGAGTTCACGTTGAGTCAACCCGCGCAAGTGTTGGGGCATTTAGAGGACAGGAGGTATTGTGATATGGAGTAAAATGAGCGAGCTAGGGGCGAATCGTGCAATAGGGTGGTGTTACCACTTAACCTTAGCATCAAACGTTGAGATTCGGTTGAATGTTTGCACCATTAGGGTGTGCATCAGGTAGGCTTGTAACGTTGTAACGGAGACCAATAATGTCCGAATACAAAATAAAGCCTTTTGACTACAGCAGTGGCCGAGTGGGCGTCAATTATTCGATGCATACGGTGCGCTTATGTCCAGACGTTTTGCACCCCACAAGCCCTGCAGCACCAGCCTACTAAAGGTGTGTCGACACAACTGGAGAACGTGCGTATGTATTATGTTGTAGGAGGGGCACCCCGCCGCACAGTAACAGTGTCATGATACGGTGAACGTCGAGGAAAAATAACAAAATACTTTACAAGAACCGCAACGTTGAGTCGAAGCCAACGGACTTAGCTGCACAGGATGTCTCGTGTTCCTGGACGCAAACCAAAACTTCGAAGCCCGAGCCCTAGAGCGTGGGTGCGTATCGCAGTCCGCACCTAAAGAAATAAAACGCCCTGTCATGTTCACAGTGCAACTTGTAGCCGTCGCAAATAATGATCCACGAACGAAACATCCTACAAGTACGCCAGCGCTGCATCTGGTCACAGGTGAATCACCCTCCGAAAACACAGCAGTCCTCGTTTACCATTCCTAGTGAGTGGCACATGACAAAAGGGAAGACCCAAAAGCGCCGCTGCAGCGACGCTCTCCTTGTCCCCGCCTGCAGCATCTTTGCCCTTCCTCGGCGAAGTCCTCCTACCATCCCCTGCATCACCGGGGGGCTTATCTCCGAGCGCGGACCGCGTGGCGCCCGCGGACCGCACAGAGCCGCGAGTAGCGCCGCGCGCGGGAGGGCGAAGAGGCAGACCCTGTGGTTGAGAGGACGCTCCTGCCTTTTTGGCCGCCGCTCGCTTAACCTTCTTCACCACGCCCGATCCAAACACCGCACAATCCCCGGCCTTCCGCGACGTGCTCGCTGCCCTCGTCTTCTTCGTGGCGGTACGTTTCTCTGTGGTTCGCCTTGCCATAGTCCTCCTATTCCAACCCAATGGTATGTGTATGACCTACGTGTGTGGCGGACCTTTTTTTCCACGTTTTCTGTCTTTCACCACCGAGGCCAGGCGGCGAAACGTGGAAAGAAGGAATTCCGGAAACTCGAAAAGCGGAAAAAAGAAAACAGTGAACGCACCTCCCTGAGGACGAGTCTGCGGAACGACGCTCGCGACGCGCAGACCGTTCTGATACTGCACGTGCAGACACCTCCCGTCTCTGTTACTCATCCTCCCACCACTCTCCTACTGCTGTTTACAGGCTCGCGCGTCATCATCAACCCAACCCCAAAGAAAATGGCAACCTCAGCTCCCGCGTCCGGAAGGGGTGTCGAAGTGAAGCAAGTGACAATCTCGCCAGCAAGCTCAAACCCCAACCTGGAGTTTACATGCAATTTCGAGCAGGTTTTCGAGCCCTCATCATCGCTGCGCGGCGCTTTCGAGCACCACGCCGCGTACAAAGCGATTTTCAGAACGGAGGAGGGCAGGGGGTTTACAAGGTACGCATGGCATAGTCTTTCGCTTCTTTGTTTATCGTGTACCGCGTACAGCGCTAGTAGACTTGAATACCTTGGGAGAGCTTGTGTTGTTCCGACCGCCGGTAGAACAGCGTCAACACAGGTGGCCAGTGGGCACGGTTGTACAGGGGCGTGGTGTAACCTCCGGCCAACGAGGGGTTATTACATGGGATAACGTGGGGGGGGTTACAGGCCGAGCGGGCATAACGTGCCGGGTTATGAAAGAGGTTATGCGCGGATTGGTGTGAAGGAGGAGAAAAGAAAAAAGATGTGTGAGCGTTCCCCTCCCTTCCATTGTATTCTACTCTACAACAGTTGGGTTAATCAAGCGGTACATCGGCAGACAACTTTCCTCTCTTTCGAGACGATTAGCGCAGGAAGAACACATGACGCGGGGGGCGTCAAACCAGCAACCTGTATCTACGGAGTTTAACGGTAGATCGCTATGCTATATGTTGAAGCATATCTCGTCTTACAAGCAAATTCCATGAATATATAGTGATGGGGGCAGGAACAATTGTGGCAACACCACCCACGCGGCCGATAATGAGCACACTTACTCTGCCGTCCTCCCCACGCAAAAAGCAGAAACTCCGAGGAATGTCTTCCATTACCAATCGTTCAATGGCAAGTTTCTTGTCAGCTAAGTTTGTATGTTCCACAGCAGCAACAACGTATATACGAAGTATAGAAACATTTAATGCTGAGCGCGCAATTCTTTTCAGTAGAGATTTTTTATGTAATAACAATACTATATTCGACCACTATTTAGTCTGGAGTATATTTTTAGGAGACAGACGTACGTGTTGTCGTGTTGACTTTTACAGAGAGGCAGCGTATGTACATAGTATATCATCGCCTACTCTCTCTCTCTCTTTTTCTCAGTCTTTGCTTTGCCCCGCGATCGTTGCCGTGCGTATTTCTACGCAACAATATATATATATCAAATAGAGTAGGCCCATGTCTATGTTGCTTTCGGCAATACATCATGATCAGAGGATAAAGATGGCGCTCGCACTCAAGAACTTGGCAGTTATGCGGCCTCGAAAAGAATCAATATCAAAGAAATTGGCCACATAAAAATACTAACAATACGTGCGTGCTCAGGCCCGACGTGGTGTTAAGTACAAGAACGAACCCGCCTTTCTTTGTGGTGTACCGCATATGACACAAGATAACACACCCCCTTGACCGATTTTGAAGCTCGATTTCTCAACTGTAGGAACAGTCACAGCGCCG